AATGCAACCCTCTTCCCCATGACAGCAAATTAGTTCCACTAAGTGGGTTAATATACTAAAAATGACCTTCAATTTTTATTGGAAGAGGGATTCAGTTCCTAATTTTTCGCACACCCCAGTCCAAAAACAGCTTGTGACCCGTGCTTCTCTTGAGACCTGCCAGAGGCATAATAATGGCAAAGGCTGACTTTAGGTGAAGGTACAAAAATTAAAAAAATATGGGTGTTCCACAAGTTAAAAGTTGTTTTACCTTCATAAACTCATCTCTCTACCTCTGCTTATTGAAATAGCATGTACATTATTTTTCTGCTTTGTAGATATATAATGATTGAGGCATTTAGTATTAATAACTGTTGATGACATTTCAGCAACCTACCAGAAAATGTGTGATTTTGATCCTAAACCCCCACCTAATGTGGTTGACCCGTTTTTAATTTGTGAACAATATCCTGACATTTGTCAAAATGGACGTTGTTACGATCTGGCAGATTCTAAATTCCAGTGCATCTGTAACCTTGGTTACGAGCTGAATAGAGGAAGATTATGTGTAGGTAGGTAAATTTTTATGTTTTTAAAATTTTAAAAATGCACTATCGTTCTGATATTGACATAATGCTTTCCCCAGTTGCCTATCAAAGTCTTTGTGTCGCTGAAGTATCAAGAGGTGGCCCAGGAGGTGATGGTACTCCCGGAACTCCGGGACGCCCAGGAGAACCAGGAACCCCAGGAACTCCAGGAGGCCCAGGAGGCCCAGGAGGCCCAGCGTCCTCTGCTACACGTCCTCCGATTGAGATTATGCAGATCTGTGCTCGTTTCAATGGGATCTGTCAGAATGGACGGTGCATTGATTTGCCTAATGGCTCGTATCAGTGTATTTGTGATGCAGGTTATGAACTCAGCGGTAACATGTGCGTAGGTGAGCTGCAATAACTCGCATTACGAGCTAATGGATATCGTCCTAATCTCCATCAACATTAACAGTCTCATCTGCGTCTCTCTAAACATTTATAACACATTTCTTTCAAATTTGCAGATTTTTTTTTTATTTTGCTAACTTTCTAATAATAAAAAAGTTCTTTTATTTGTTTAATTCATTCGTGTGATAACATATTCTTTTGTTTTTAGTGTCTTTTATATAACCATAATTAAGTTGCTTTATGTGCTGTGTGTATATGAAATATCATATTTAATGTTAAAGCTCTTAAAAATATAATATGAAGTACACAAGGCAATAAAATCTATTTATAATAAACATTCATGCTATGTTATATACATGCACTTCATATCTTGGTGTCGAAATGCACGCCATTGTGTCCCAACACGATGGCATGCATTTCGATACTTGGAGTATGTATTATACTATCATATCTTGGTGTAATATGTTAAAAATGCACTCCACCATGATGTTATATAATATAAGAATATGTGTAAAATATTTGTATGCAATTAATCTGTTAATTTATAAATTATATAATTCTTTATTGCTGTAATCTCATGTACGTTTTTGTTGGCTCACATTAATAATCTTATCTTGATTTGAATTTTCAAAACATACAGTGTGTGTGAAGCAAAGGGGATTCCTCTGGTATAAGCCCATCACAAAGTATAGCCCCAATTTTATGTTTAGGGGTGGGGAGGGGGATAAGGGTGGCTTACACCAGGGGAACGATGGCTTTCATGATGTTTTATTAACATCTTTTCAACATTCTATTGCGATCATCATTCTTTGTTTAAAGCCCTGTCCAGACTATCAGATTTTTTTTTACAAAAAACTGTTGTATGCCCATATATGGTCATGGTGTGTCTATATATGGTCATGATGTGATGTCATCATAACCATATTTAGGCATGTCACATGTTTTTGTCAAATAAAATTTGATAGTCTGGACAGAGCTTATAGCAGTGTTTGCATTGGATTTTATTTTTAGACCTAGGCTCCCATCAGGACATCTTGTGAAGTTAACGCTGCCCCCCTCCCCCCAATATTACACCCTCACCCTTGTCCCTCTTTCTCTCATGGGGAGTTTGAGTTGGTTTTTATGGCTAAATCCCAAATTTTGTACTTGGATTAAATAGCATGTTGTATATATCACAATAAACACTCATGTCTAAACAAGAAGTGTTTATAACTGTGAAATATATTTTGTTAAATTGTTTACAAAAGGACATACTATTATTGTACCCACATGGCAAGAAGATTTAACCATGTGCGCTCTCCATATTTGACTTGCCTGCTTAATAAAACTAATAATATTTTGGGCTCAATTTACTCAGCCAACATTTCTGAAGTTGTTCTAACTTGATTTAATCTGGAACTAACCAGCCAAAAATTGTCCAATGCAAATACTGTCAGTGTAATACAAAATACTTATGCCATTTTCTAAAAGCTCAATGTTGAAAACAATTGTAATTGTTGTGTATATGATAATAAAGTTATGTGTAAATTATGATGTTTTCATTTACTATGCACATTTTTTCTTTTTTATATTGCAATTGCTGAGAGACTATGCAACTGTATTGCACATTTATATTTTGTTTTGTACATTCTTTAATATTTACTTCTATTAATTAATCTATTAATACTAAGTGTTTTTCATTAATATGTTGATGCATTTTCTATCTTTGATATTCAAAAAATATCAATGATGTATTATAAAATCACTTAAAAAAATAATATTAATGATTGATAAATTATATTGATTATTATTAATTATTGATTAATATAGTGTTATATATTATGCTCGTTCTTGCACGCTGAATCAATTTCCGTTGGTATTAAGTTACTTCTGCATTGCCATATCTAAAGGTCTTCAAATAAGGGGAGGGGGTGGGGGGCTGATGGGAGGCACCAAGAATAAATGGGGGCACCATGATTAAGTGAGAGGTTGCCAGCTTGCAAAATAGGTGATTTTTATCTACTTAAGCAGGGCTTTTTTGCTTCCAACATTTTCAATGGAGGGGGATGCTGGGGGGTGCAAGTTTTTTTAGGGGGTTTGCATGCCTCTCCTAGATATGCCACTGCTCCTGGGAGTTGGTGACAACCAGTCTCCTCAAATCTCTAGGATTATTATTATTTATTTTTATTATTACAATTATTATGATAGGTAAATTAAACTTTGTAACTCTGGTACGAATAATGCACACTTATTTGAGATTTCACTTTTACTATTATCATTTATACAAATTCCGATTATAATTACTATTAAGATGAGATTTTATTATTATTAATATTTTTATGAAAATAACCACTTATTTTTATATTGCATCAATTTTGAAAACAAATTTGATATAAGCTTTGAGGAAAATATAAAAGTATGTCTTAACATACACCAATATTCATAACATTTATATATTTATTTCTTTTAAATAATTCAAATAAATAAATAAATATTTTTCCTAATATTTTCTTGATTAAATTTTCACCATTTAGATATTAATGAATGTTTAGAGACTCGTTACTGTAGTAATGGAGTTTGTCACAATTCACCTGGTGACTATTATTGCACCTGTGACAGTGGTTACGAACCTTTACTAAACAACAGGAAAGCCTGTAGAGGTAAGTTTAATTCTTATTACACCCTATAATTTGTTCACAGGTGTGAAATCAATTGATACCTGAAATTTAAGTTAATAAACATATGTTTTTTTTTCAATGCTCTATAAATTGCTTACCTTGTATTTAAGAGTGACATACACTTTTTTTTTTATAGAAAAAACAAATATTTTCCCAAAAATTTTGTTTGGTCTTTGGCCTTACAGTATTAGTATATATTTTTACTATTACTATATTATTACTACAGTACTGATTAAACTATTTATTTTCGTTATTATTAATAATAGATAATATAGTAAAATAATAATAATACAGAACTTAAATATATGTTTACAAAGAAAAGTCGTAATTACATGTAAAGTTAAGTAACTAACAACTTGAAATAGTAACTACAGTACAAAACAAGTTTGTATCCTCACAAAACTTGTGGGTGGTATTTAATAAATTAATTATGCCTTCGTCTCCTTTCATTTTCGCTCAGAGCAGATTCTAACGACCTAACTTTACCTCCTTACCACTCACTGATTGATTGGAGACTTATGCCTTGTAAATCATTTACCTTACATTATTCTCAACATAATCACAATACTGAATGGTAAATTATAGCAAGAAAGCTTAGGTGGAGGTTGCTCAAAAGGAAGAAAATAAAAAACATGCAATAAACTGATGAAATGAATTAAATTTTAAATATGATCAGAAGATCGAGGATGTTTTCCTGACCTAAAAAAAGGTTGTTTTCCTGTTATTCACTCTGTTAAACTACCCAATAGTCTTACCGTTCCCTCGCTGCTCAACGTTGAACCGCATACACAATCACAAGATTAATTTTATCCAATGACAGTTTATTTATTTGACAATAACATTTGTCTTTAGAGAGAGAATGTGTAATTGGTGAGAAAATTGAGATCAAAGGCAATTAATTTAAAGCATACAATTATGTATGGTTTGGTCAGGTTAATTCCATTGAGGAATATGTTAATTGCACACTCTTATAGTATGAAAATTAATTTTTTTTTTTTTACATTTTGAAAATTGATCAGACAGAAGAAAGTAAGGCATCTGTATGAATGGAAATCTTGCTGCTCAATGCAATATTTATTCATTACAGTAGAACCTCCTTATTTGGGACACCCCTATTAAAGGGACTCTTTTGTGGCCGTGAAATGAGGGAAATGTATCTTTTAACACTTCGGCTAACCCCTATTCAGGGTACATCCCTATTAAGGGGACACTTTTCGGTCCCAAGGTGCCCCCTTTATTTAATAGGGTTTTGTATTTTATTAGAGGAATTAATTATTAAGTGTATTTATGATTTATGAATAAGGTTATCATTTAATTTGGATAAAATCACATCAGTGACATGCCTTGAAATTCATAGAAGTACAGTCTTAACAAATATTCAACAAGTAATGAAGAGGCAGCCCTCGGAGGCTAACTTTAAAGATGTTATTAAAGTTGGTCTCCGAGTGCTACTTCTTATCCTTTTTTCGGAGGGGGGATTAGGTGGGACTGAAATATGTACGGTCTGCTAAATATAAAGGTTTGGATAGGCCTAAACCTGGTTTAACCAATAAAATTAAATCCTGTCTAATGAAAGGTTAGGGAAGGGTGTATGACTAGATAGGTCTGGTATTTAAACCATTTGGAAGTTCATTCTGTCTACTAAATATGGAGGGTGGAGATGGGCTTTGAACTAGTTTAACAAAAAATCATATGCCTTGTCTACTGAGTATTGAGGGGAGGGGTGAGTTAGAATAGGTTTAACCAGTGGAAATATGCCCTGTCTACTGAATGTGGATTCAGTAGACAGTTGGATCTAAAGTTGCCTGATCTATTTTAAATTCACCTTTCTTGTGAATGGAAGGATGGGGGTGTTAATTGTTTTGTACCATTATTCTAAAATTGGCCAGTGGGAGAAAATTCCTGTGCAATATAGACAAATAAGTTATGGTATCCTTGTAATTCAATTTTTTAGGCTACACCATACTATGTGTCAAAGAGGTAGCCCCATAGTTTTATGATGCTCTTCGGTTTAGTAGTTACTTTAAATAAATCTAGGCTAAAAACAGCTGCTAGTTGATAATTTTTAGTAAGCACATTTAGTGCATTTTAACCCTTGGGAAATATCAAGACCTTGGTAATTTGCTCAGAGCCTAGAATTCCAAGCAATGTGTCTCCCCTTCACAATGTAAGGGTCTCATCCCTTTCAGGGTTCAGTAACAAGTGTTGTCCAAGGAAATAAGTTATTCTTGTTTTTTTGCAGATTATTCTTTAACTGATGATATCTAACATGGTTGAATTAAATATCTAAATGTAGAATCAACATTTTATTATACTATATTAGTTCAATTTTTTTTTACTGGTATACAGTATTGCTCTCTTCAGTGTTTCATTGCTATATTAATAGTATTACATTTTTCCCCTGTTTTATCAACTATTTAGTTACTCAATGCCTATGAGGATGTTTGAATCCAATATTTGTATAGCGCCGAAATCTAGTTCCCTATTCTGAAGTTTTTTATTCAGAAATATAAAATGAAGGCATCTCAAAAACAGATGTACAAGAGAAAATGAAACATGATTTTTTTCCTAAATTTGATAAATGTACATGACCGTAAACAGCTGATAAAAAGATATAAATTACGGCAATATTTCACTACATCATGAATGTGTACAGGTTAGGTAGAGCAGCAGTGTGAGTGCATTTGTGCAAATTAGAAAGGAATTAGGGTTAAGCAATGACTGACCCCTTCAGAAAAACATTCCTTTAAAAAGAAAATTAATTTTTAATGCCTATCATAAGGTAGAGAGCCTGTTCAGACCTAAAAAGGGTCATGATGACATCACATCATGACCATATATAGGCTCATCATGACTACATGAACAGTGTTTTGTCAAAGAGAATTTGATAATCTGTACAGAGCCTAAAGCTTTGTGTATACTATGAAATTTATATGACAAAAAAAATGTGATGTGCCCATGTATGGGTACAATGACGTCATATCACATATCAAATTGTATAAAAAACAGTTGAACCTGTTCAACTCTTATTTTCCATTACACTTTATGTGATGCTTTTTTGATGAAATTTGATAGTGTAGACAAAGCTGTAGAATATATTCATTGTACTGTATATTCCAGTTTCATCCTTCTTTGTTCTGCCTTCTACGATTTAGCACTATTTTTAAATAATATATATCGATTCACCAATTGTTTATAGTCATGTGTGAATGTATCTACTTATACGATGTAAATTAAATTTGTATGTATGTTGTCCTAAAAACCTGTTTTCTTCCTGTCTGCTGAATATGAGGTTGCTAGGCATACACTCCATTAAATGCAATTTAAATACTTTCCATTCTTAATGTTAAGAGACCTTCATAATAATCTCATTTGAAATTATGATACGAAAAACATACTTGAGAAGCAAATTGTAAACATTGAGATTATTCCCAAAGGCTTTTAAGGAGGCAGTAAGAATTTTCGATATTTTTCAAATTTTCTGTGTCTTAGCAACTGTTTCTTATATTTCATGGTTTGCACTTGAAAATGAAAGTATGGGATATGATTTAATGAAAACCATATTAAAGATAATCAAATCCTAATTATCTATCATAAAATTATTATGTCACTTATTAAGTACAATAAATAATGTACTATTCTCTAAAAAAAAATGATTAAAAGTATTAAAAATAATGAATTGCTCATAAAAAACCTGATTAAGGTATTAAATATTAATGAATTGTTGAATAAAATTATTAAATTATATAATAAATAATGAATTGCACTTGAATAAACTATTTTAAGGGATAGATTCATTTGAAACATAAATACAATGTAAGAGTTTAAGAATTCAATTATAAGAAAATACACAATTACATAGGGGGTCAGTGTTTATAATTATATTGTATAATATTTTTCCTCCCCATTTCCATATTCTAAAGGATCACTACAAGCAGCAGAACCATGGAATAAGGTGGGAAATTTTGATCCCTGTCAAGCATGGAACCATTGTTATTAATTGCCACCTATTTCAACTATTAATTTGCCAATCCAGCCTCTACATTATGATCTAAATAAAAGTTCAATTATTACTATCCTAAACCATAATCCATTCTCTTGACCCCAACCAGTTTTTCGGTGCCAAAACTTACCAAGTCACAGTGGATTGTATAAAATAGATGATGTTTCTTTGTATTCCCAATAAATTCTAACTATTAGTATATAAACCAAATATAAGAGCTTTATTGTATTTATTACTATTTACTTATGTATGTTCACTGACTTATGTATGTTAACCCAATGCAAAAGGTCGAAACTCATTTGCCTTTAGGTGGGTGTTAAAGTAGAACTTAAAATAATCTTTCCTAGACTCATGGTTTTACCCTTATTATTTATTTCTCATAATGTCTTTTCGAATAGATCGTGATGAGTGTAAAGAAAACCCAGATATATGTTTGAATGGAAAGTGTCTCAATATGCCAGGCAGCTATACCTGCCAGTGCGCAGAAGGCTATATATTGTCGAATGACAGACGCTTCTGTATTGGTAAGGACAATTTTAACACATTTATTACTGGGGCGTAAGTTCACATCCACACCTGTCCAACATAGCTCTATTGTATTGCACTGTATCTCAATCACAATGTGAAAGTCAATAAAGTGTATCTGTCTTTAAACTCGCTTTCAGTGGTCGCCGGAACACCCTGGTGGTTCGGGAAGGAAGAAATAATGATTTAAAAATAACTACCGCATAGTTACCAACCTGAGAGATTTGAAATGCTTGACTACACTGGTGGGGGATGTACAGTGGGGCCGCCAAGCCCCTTGGGGTCCAGTGGCCAAAACTCTGGGGGCCCAGGTTCCAATCACATAATCAAAGTTTGGTTATGACAATGAATGTGCAAGATCACACTCGACTAATAGATTCTACTGAGTCTGTGATTGGCTGTGTTTTTTTTGGTTGGGAAAGAGAAATTTTCTTGATGAATTGATTTTCGAGTGATATAACGAAAGCTCTCTAATGACCCTAGCTACTCCATGACGGTTTTTATATTTTTAATGAAACCAACTTCTTGGAATTTCAAATACATTTTCCTCTGAATTTGTGATAATTCGTTATCATGTATACACTTGCGATAAATGTGTGACAAATTTATGTTCACGCATGTCTTTCTGCAAAATGCGTGCTTCATTCAAAATCACTTTAAAATGGGGGACCATCCCTCATGATGCATGATGGTTGGTAACTACAGTATGCTACCATATGTTTGTTTGTGTTTTACTACAGTTGATGGAAATGATTTTCATTATGGTGGTGCCCTTTATTCCTAGGCGTATGGGATGGAACTAGAAAAAATGGCTTGGCAGTCAACATATGTTATGACTTCTATGTACCCTCTGACTTCTCAGTGACATCATGCAAAATAATAGACCTATACTTATATTAATCATACAACGTTTTTTAAATTTAAATAATTTTTTTTATTTTTATGTGGAAATATTTCATTTCTAATCCAGAATGCATCATCATTCCAACTGGTCTTCTATGGTCAAAGATTGTTGACTCATGACATCCATTGAAGTGTATCTGGTTGACTTTGTAAACATATAATGTAGTTAGTTTGAATATAAGTGATCAATTCAAAAGACTAATATTGTTAATTGTTAAATTGCTAATAGAATTTGTAATTAACCTTTTTTCTTTTTTATGTGTAGATGTTGATGAATGCGAGAAGACTGGTATGTGCCGGAATGGCCACTGTGTAAATATGGCAGGAAGCTATAAGTGTATCTGCGACAAAGGATTCCGCAATACCCATGGCGTTTGCCAGGGTAAGCATCATATTCCATTGTATTGTTTTATAATACCAACTTTTAAGTAATATTAGCCATGGTTTGTGTTTTATATTATTGCATTGTGATCTCAGATTTCTAGTTTCAATTTTTTTAAAATAAATGTCTATTTACCAAACCTCAATTTGATAATTTATTCAGTATATCTAAAAGGCATTGGTTAGAATATGTATACTGAAAAAATACAGTATGCTTTCTGTGTAAGTCTAATTGATAAAATGTGTGGATTCCTCATTTTATTAGTAGACTTTAGAGTAATTTTGCAAAAGGTATTATTAAAGTCACGGTGTTTTTCAGTCAAAATGTACAGCACCATTCTCTCTTATCTTTAAGTGACTGCTGCACCTCCCTGTTTTTTTGTTTTACAACTGAACCCCCAGGGTTTGTATGATAATACCATACTAAAACGATTGCTAGAGATATACTAACTGTAGATCAGCTTAATCGGTGTTCTCTCATGACACTGCTCCACCTTGTTCATTATATCATAGACCTGTTTTTATTACATCAAAACTGTAAAGTTAAATGTTATTGTGGTCAGTAGAAGGTGATTAGATGTCTGAAGGCCTTCTCTAGGGATGCACTTTGAGTATGAACTCTTTGTTCCTGTCCCAGTTCAAATGAAAATAGGACTAGGTCTATACATACTCTCAAGCATCTAGTAGTCTTCCCTTCCCAAGCCTGTTTTAAAGAAGAAACCTGTATGATGATGGATCATCCTAGATTAATATGATGTAAATAACATATGTTTTCTAAGTAGTAATTTACTTATAAATAATAATTTCTGGAACATTTTATTCTATTAAACGCACCTGTTTGTGATTAGTTCAGCAAAGTGTGTTTAGTGGATATCATGCTTTTAAAAGTATTTAATGCTTGGACCAATCCTGTGCCTTAGTGCTTGAAAGCTCACCAATATTTACTAAATAATTGTTGCAACAATTTTTTCGAAGAAAAAAAAAACCAAAACAGAATCTAATCTAAACTAATCATGTGTCATTTCACAGGCACAGATTGTTCAATGTAATTCAAATCCATGTTTTTGTTTGCTATACATGTAATTATAGTCATGTTTTGCAAACATTTTCTAAGAAAGTTCTCATTCTAGTTGTTGTAATAAAGCATCTTATGTAAAATGTTTGTTTACTATAATTAACTTGTATTCATTTGTTTTGCCTGACACAAAACATTTCTGCCAAGGTCAATTAGGCTGGAAAAATGTAGAGGCTACTATAACAGTACATTTGCATGTTAGATATATAGCCTTCAATTGTAAATGTGTCAACTGTGTAGTCATAAAACAATGTTAGTACATGTAGGTGTAGTAAATGTATGTATCAATTTTCTTCTGTTACTTCAATCTTCATTTCACTCATAACCCACACCTTGATGATGGCCTTGTGTAGAGTACTTGATTCCCATAAAAGAAATGCAGTGTACAACAAAACAGGCTTTGAGAAGAAATACACAGGTTTTAATCAAAAGGGCTGCATGCTAATGTATATATTTGCAACACATTGTATAAAAATGTGTTTGTTAGTTACATTTGGTACAGTAATTTCAATTTCTATTTGATGGTTTTTACTTAGTGATCCCTTCATGGTATGTCATGACATACTAGGGATCACCCAATTCAATAAAAATAAACAAAAAGTACATAAGTAACATAAAGAAAATACTTTAGAAATTATATAATAAATTAGGCTTATTGAAAAGTTCTCAGAATTTAATTCTGGTGCATTTCAAAATGGAAGTAAATAGGATTGGATTGGATCTTCACTAAGTAGATTAGATCGTGGTTAAAAAAAAAAATTTTCACAGTTTTTTTTATAAAGACATTTAGTATTATTATTATTATCATTATTATTATCATTATTATTATTATTAATTTCTTCATTAGATATTGATGAATGTGCTGAACAAGTTTCTCTGTGTCAGGGAGGTCGCTGTATAAATTCACCTGGAAGTTACAGATGTCTATGCACCAATGGGTTCACGGAGCAACCAGATGGAACATGTCACGGTAAGTGACATGATATCAAATCAAAATCAACCTTAATGATCATGTATGAAATAATAATTGATTTAAATGTTTTATATTAATAATGTTAAATTTGTTGTTGTATATGTTATTTTGTAGAACCATAAATACAGTAGAACCCCTCTTTTGGAACACCACTATTCAGGGGACACCCATATTAAGGGAACACTTTCCCACGAAACGAGGGGCGATATATCTTTTAACACTACAGCCAACCCCTATTAAGAGGATGGAGATACTTTCTAAGTGTGCAAAATTGTCAAATCAATACAATTTAACCCCTAGTAGGGGACACTAATTTTTTTTTATTGTATCAAAACAAGTACAGTAGTCCCAAAATAAGAAAAAAAAATCTTTCAAATTTATATTTTGACACTTTTGAGCAATAAACTTAACATCAATCTAGAATTTTTCACTCTCAATATTTAGAATGTGTTACTTCGTATAAATAAAATCTTGTCAATTTTCACCATAAACTGTTTTGTGTCTTTTCACATACCGATATTATAGGCTGATGTATACCGTACAGCTGCGCCCTGATTTCTACTTAAGTCATTACTCTATTGATGCTATTCTATCTTGTACATCCAATAGAAAGCTCAATATCTGAAAAAAGAATATTTGACCATTAATATAACACTCGGATCAAGAAATATATAATGTCGGGAACATAGGCCTATACAACTTTTGTAGTTTTAATTAGATATCAGTTGATTTCCTATCATAGATGATTTATTTTTTGCATTGCAAATTATTGTTATAAATTAGGGCCTAGTTATAATTCAACTGTAAATCATTCTTAGGTCAATTAAAATAAAATTATAAAAAAATCTATATCATCATTGTAAAAAAACATGCGAAAAACCCCTATTAAGGGGACAATTTCACATTTTTGGTTAGTATTTTCTGGGAAAACCCTTATTAAGGGGACAATTTAGTTGGTCCCAAAGGTGTCCACTGAATAGGAGTTCTACTGTACGTACTTTGAAATTTCATTTCACAACCTCCTAAGGCGAGACTTTTTTATACCTTGCTTAGGGAACCTGCCACCCACCAATTTTAATGATTTCAAGTAAAAATAAAAGTTTATTTTTGGCCAATTAGTCCACCCGCAGCCGCAAAAATGGAAATTTTTAGAAAAAAATAGAAGTTTCTTTTTATATTTATTACACCCGCCACTGCCTTGAAATCTCCAAAAATAAGGTACTGTATGTATATTTCTACCTACAGTAATTATATAAATTTAAAGCATTTAACCATCCCAGTACTACACTGTTTACATTTACTAATAAAATTTTATTTTTATGTTCTCCATCTGGATGTTTTAGCAAAACTGTTTGCTAATTAAAACAAAAAGATTTTATTTTTACATTTTTTCACCCTCCTCTGACGATCTTTGGAAAAATAAGTTTGCGAAACAAGTATATTACTAGGTATAAAAAAGTCTGTTTAATGTTTGAACATTCCTGCAACATTGTGTGAATTTATTTTGTGACATACAGATACCAAACATGAATGTCATATTATTGTATTGTGTTTGCTGAGGTGGCTTATGGTAATCAACAATGATGTAATGAAGTTTTCGTATATTGATTTTCCTTCCAGAAACTCGCAGGGACTACTGTTACCACCACACAGCTGAACGTCAGTGTGCAGTTCGTTCACAAGTGCAGATCACAAGATCGCATTGTTGTTGTAGCGTAATTGTCGTTGAAAGAGGTGGTGGCTGGGGCATGAGCTGTGAGACATGTCCGCTTCAAAATACACCTGAGTTCAATGAACTTTGTATCCATGGCCGTGGCAGGGATAATACAGGAAGAAGTAAGGATAAAGACAATAATCAATTTATATTTAGATGGCACATATAAGACATCCTGGTTTATAATAAAGTATCAACTCATGTCTAGACTAAGTCTGATTGGGTTTGACAGTGTTTAATCAGACATTGATAGTGTTTGCTTGTTTCTTAGTCATGGGCCAGAGGGTGGTGAAAGAAGTGCTCCCCTGAACCTCAAAGTAGGCAAGATATTTCTATAAGTGTGAAATCATTTAGATAAGAGATTAAAATGGTTAAAACCTACATTTTTTTGGGATGTATACACCCCCTTTTTCTAACATTCGGTAAGGGAACACCAAAACTACCCCTCTTGAACCGTCGGTGCTTTATTTGCATTTAATCCCTCTCTGCCCATGTTTCTAACATTTGGTTAAGCAAATTGTGTATCCTCCCATATCCCTTGACAATTCATTAAACAAAAGGGAATATGCAAAAAACTAAAAAAAATGGGATGCAGGCCAACATGATTCAATATTTTAGATGTTAATGTTTTCTAGGTAATTAAAATTTGAAATCGTGATTAAATATTTTTAACTTTATTTGTTTTCATGTTGAATCATGATGGCCTACATTACATTTTCCAGAGTTTGTTTAATACTGTCTTGTGTCAAACTTATCAGTATCCCATCTTCATTAGACAAAGTTGGACAAACAATTTGTCTGACCTGCAGAAAATATGCATGATAATATGTGCCTTGCTTTAGAGTGTGTTGAACAATGTTATACAGATGTTAAACAGCTATAGAAAAATGACAAACTTCCTTTTTCCTTCAGATTTGGGTAACATATTTCATATTGCTGCAACCACATAGCCATTGTCCAAATCTCCCACCATTAGTCTCAAGGCTAGGTCTATCTTCTGTATTACCCTAACCTTGTGGGCCTACAATATTTAAAGACAGACCAACTTAATTATATTGTTAATCATTTCAAATTCAACAATTTACAAATAAACTTGATTAGGATTTTAAAAGGGACCTTATTTATGTTTTCCCTCTCCACCCATGAGAGTAAATCCCTGTGGAATTTTGGAATGACTTGGAATGAAACTAATTTGTGCTGCATTACATGCAGGAATGGGAATACTCCCAAGGGAAGTGGTTGCTCATTGTTTATGATCATTTGTTTCCAATGAACAGGAAAATAATGGGAAGTGATTTAAGACTTTCCGTGGAATGTTCTACCTAAGGTATGCATGCTAGATAGATTTTATACAGCAACAAAGGGCAAATAAAGTTTAGTAGGCTATCTGTATTA